TGAAAAACCTGATAAACATCTCATTTTGAGGAAAGTACAGCCTGAGAGTAAGTAATGATTTTTTGATGAATTATTACAAACTGCACAAATGTGATTCTGAAATCTCAACTATAACATAGACAGTAACCTCACAGAGATTGGTAACCTGAGACACCTTAAACAACGAGTTCTGATCAATACTATATGAAATGGATTTATGATTTCATGACGAATAATTCATTTAGACTGAGTACACACACACACACAGAGCAGAAAGGACATCTATAGATGAGTGCTCAGGGTCAGAAGAACCTCTGACCTTACAGCAGCTTTTAGCACATTCCCAAAGAGAAACCTCTCATCTCATCCATGCGTCTCTCTTTCATTGGCAGTTCTGTGCTGAATGCTGTGTGTGTGTGTGAGGTGGTAATACTGATCAAAGCTGCAGCTGAAACGTCTTGTCAATAGCAGATCAACGTTTAGCGCTCGATAAAATCGGTCCTATAATTAGAATGGCACGTGTTTAACGTGAACTAATCAATCACTTTTAACCCCTCCGCTCTCAGACACACACACACACACTTGCCAATATGACATTGTGATGTTAAACATTTAGAATAGGTGATCTGGGATCACATGTACACTCGCATCAAAAGTTTTGTTCACTTTTTTATTTATTTTTTTTTACTTAAAAAAAATAAATAAATAAAAAAAAAATTAAAAAAAGTTTTGTTCTCTAAGACTGTTTTTATTTGACCAAAAATACACTACAAATAGTATAATTGTGCAATACTCTGAAATTTAATTACGTTTTCTATTTGAATATATTCAAAAATGCAATTTATTTCTGCGATGCAAAGCTAAGTTTTAGTGTATTTTTTTAACTTGTCCTGCATAACCATGATTTAAGAATTTTACTGCCTGGCTAACGTCAGACCACGTCTCATTGACATTGAGATGTTGTCTGGGAACCACATGTCTTCTGTCCTGATTTCTTTGAGAGGAGGGTCTATGAGCGGGTAAATGTATGTGTTTTTCAATTTAATGTACAAAATAAGTGTGCACAACTTACAAATGAACGTTTTCCGCTCTCACCTGCAAGTGTAGGCAGAGAACAGGTGGTCTATTGTGGCTGTTCAAACGCATTCGACCACATGAGGGTCTACACTACGTATATACCAGTGTAAACAGGGCCTTTGTCACATAAACATCAAAGCAACAGCAGCAATTGATCCACCAATGGTGTGTCTTTGGGGTGGGACTATTTGACTGTCTGACCAATGGCGGAGGGGGAAGTGTTCTATGTTGGGAAACCTGTCAGAAAACAGACATCGTTTTTGCAGTTTTATTTGGTGATGCTAGAAGCACATACATAATGGGTCAAATTTAGGAATGTTTCAAATCACATTGTCTGGTTTGTTTTAAAATAAAGCCCCAAAAGTGATTATAATAGTTGATACACATTTGAAGCACAGTTTGGAAGAAGGATTAATGATGTATTGACTCATTGTTAAAATTGTGTTATTTTCTAACTAAAAAAGGAGAGTACCTTTAAAGAAAAAAAAGAGGCAACACTTCACAGAATAAAGTGTAAAAGAACACCATCCAGGTACCGTAGTGTGTACTATGATTTGGAATGCATTCATTTTAATTTTGCGCACTAATTAGTAAGGATGTAGAGAAAGACAAGACAAGGCGACAGAGAATGAGAGTGAATCTGTGAAAAGAGTTCATTAACGGTTGGTCATTAAGATAGTGATGCCTTGTTAAATACATTATCTTGACCTTGACAAACACACTTACACACACCATCTGAGGGCCTGCGGTCTCATTTATACTGAATATCCCAGTTACGCCCCCACACACACTGCCTTTACACCTCAAACAAACCCTGTGTGTGTGTGTGTGTGTGTGTGTGTGTGAGATGTTTTCATTTGCCTGTGTGTGGCATCTGTCAATGTGTCTGACTGGATGAGACTGTTACCGTGGAAACAAATCTCTCTTTGATTTATCAATGCTATCAATGACAGGGGTGAGTTTACTGCTGTCCTGACTCCTGATCAAACACACTAACACACACACACACAGATGTGGTGTTTGGCACGTATGGATCTGTGTCAGCAGAAACACAAGATAGAGTGTCAGAGACACACAGTTTCCAGGAGGTCAGTTCTTACTGTATGATATGTGTGTGATACACTAATGCCAAAGAGAGAGGGTGTGTGTGTGAGAGAGAGAGAGAGAGAGAGAGAGAGAGAGAGAGAGAGAGAGTGAGAGAGTGTCATGTGACGAGAAGATTCTGGATGTAAAAGGCTTTGTCTTGACATCATACAGTAACTTTTCTGAATCTTTTAATTTTGAATCCATTATAATCCACAAGAGGGCGCCACCCCCGGTCTCTCATGTCTATGATCTAACTAACATTATCATTCTTACATTTGATAAAACTTTTCAGCGCAGAAATTCCGGAGAGTTCCCAATACAATATATTTAAATATTAAAATCTCTGGAGACTTAACATGAATTCACATCTTTTAATATACAGTATAAGAGGCTACAAAAACATAGTCTACTGTATTTTTAATAAAACCAAGATGCCAAAACAACTCATTCTATAGTTGTTAATATTATTTATATATTATTTTAGTATTCTAGTATTTATTAATATTTAGAAATGAATATTTATCCGTTTGTAGTTACTATCGTAATAACAGTATATTTTGTAGAATTACATGGCACTAACCCTAAACCAAACCCTAACCCTATAAGTACTGTATGTGTTAATTAATATTACTCTGTACTTTAATGTATAATTACACTGTAATACAGAGACCTTGAATTAATGTGTAACAAAAAAAAAACACATCACGATATAATAAATAAATGTTTTTTGGGTATTAAAAAGTTTTCGGCCATTAAAAAAATATTGGAGATTCAAATCAGAGCCAGGAAAAGGTTTGTAGTATGCCATGAATTAAGTATTAATATGTTGGCATGTCATTCACTCTCTCATGATCACATGGTCACCGCTGCATCTGGGTCAGATTAATCCAGCGGTGCATAATCTCAATCCTAATCTCCAGTTTCTGATCACACACACACACACACACACACACACACACACACACGCACACACTTATATAAGAGAATTAATGACTGAATAGTGAATGTAGACATATAAAAACCCAGCAGGACGGTTCAGAAATCTGCCCTGACTCGCTCAGAGCTTTCAAGCAGGGGTATTTAACAGATGTGACGCGTGTCTTCATGCCACTGACCTCTGCCTGTAAGCTCTGACCTCAAAAAACATCCAGGTTGTTTAAGTTCAGAATCACACACATCAGATTTAGTCATAAAGAATATTTCACTGTTTCCAAGCAATGTTGTCGTGCACCTCAAAAATCAAAAATAAGAAATTATATTTTGCATTAGGACAATTTTTTTTTTGTATGTAATACTCATTATTCTTAATAGTGGTTATCATTAGAGGCTCATTAATACAAAAGCATATTGCATTCACTTGAAGAAAAAAAATTTTTTTTTTTAATTAATGAGTATATTAACTCAGAATTATGAGCTAATGTTTAAAACAAAAATGTTTTTGCTCTGTTTTTCTGAATTAATTATCACATAATTATGAGATATATTTTTCGTGAAAAACATTGTTCACTCTGTTTTTATGAATTAATGAGTTAGTCATAATTTTTTAGACAATCAAGTCATTAATTCAGAAAAACAGAGAAAAACTTTTTTCCATGAAAAATTATCTCATAATTCTGAGATAATTCATTCATTAATTCAGAAAAACAGAGCAAAAACTTTTTTCCATTAGAAAATTATTCCGTAATTCTGAGATAATTAACTTGTTAATTCAGAAAAACAGAGCAACAACTATTTTCGAAGAAAAATTATCTCATAATCCTGAGATAATTAACTTGTTAATTCAGAAAAACAGAGATTTTGTTTCCTCAAGTGAATGCAATTTACTTCCGTACAGTGCATTACTATAACATAATTTATTATATTTTTAATACAATAGTAAAATATCTATAATAATATTTAATATATTTTGACAGTTTAACCATACATTTTTTTTATTTTTTTTTTATTTAAATGTATATTTTTAAAAGGAAATGCTTTTCAGTAAACACAATACTTGAAATTTTGTGGGGGGAAATTGTTGTTTGGGGCTTAAATTTGTTGAAAAATTTACACAAAAAATAACTTGGAAAATATGAAAACCTGTGCAATTATGCATCTTACGAAAGAGTACAGAATCATTTTTTTTACAGTCTATAATCAAAACACAGGAAAAAAATGAGCAGAAACAAGCGATAAAAGCATTGGTTATGCACGTTGTGGATATTTCTCCAGATTTTCTCAGTTTTTGTTCAAAATGTTACTTTTTTATAAAATTGTTGATTAAAAACTAAAATTAAAAAACATGATTAAAATTTTTTTTTTGCTTGTTTAAAAGGAAAGATTCTATTCTTTCTATTGATATATTGCATGTCCAGATTCTGAAGGCCATGAAACGTATTGAGAAAATGATGAAAAATACTGGCGGTGGCTTTAAAAAAAAGAAAGAAACCCTGACAGGGAAAGAGTTATGAAAGAGACGGGGGAAAACTTATGGAAAAATACTGACCATGGGAAAAGTTGGAGGAGTTGCAGCACATCCGTTGCGCGAGTGTTTTAGCGTGTGTTTCACGTGTGTGCTGACAAGACGGACAGCTGAATACACTCAACAGACACTCTGACATCATCACCACCTCATTCTCATCTCTCCTGACACACACACGCACAAAAGAGCGCATGATTTCCTCTCAGACCAGAAACGTCCTGACATGCCCACCTCCGGATCTGTCCTACAAGGACACACACACACACCCACACACATGGAGGGCATTCCCAGCAGGCCTGTCGGGATGACCTTGGTTGTCACAGTGTGTCACGAAACATGAACTCTCTCTCACAGACACACACTCACACACATGATGAATCTTCTGATGAAGTCTCACCTTCGTCCATGGTCTTGGTGGGATTGAAATGAGAGTGTTTGTTCCTGCGGTGTTTGAATCTGATACTCTCTCTGTCTATCTCTCCGCCCTGAGCAATCATCTCGTCTGCTCAAGAAAAACACAAAAGAGGAGAAAAGTGTGTAGAGGGATGAGAGCTGCCTGTCTGGAGAAGATGACAGGCCATGATTCCTCTGCCAAAACTTTAAAAGATCTGAATTCACCAACACAACATGTTATCACATGACAAATATATATATATATATATATATATATATATATATACACTCTAAAAAATGCTGGGTTGTTTTAACCCAACTTTGGGTCAAATATGGACTAACCCGAAATGTTGGGTTAAAAATGTAATGTAAAAATTTAACCCAACGGCTGGGTTTGTCCATATTTGACCCAAAATTGGGTTAAAACAACCCAGCATTTTTTAGAGTGTATATATATATATATGCATACTGAGACAAAAATTTGACAAAAAATGCACTGCAGCTTGTTGCAACCACAATCAATCAGTTATATAAAAAAACCCAAGTAATAAAAAAATAATTATGAAATACATATGTATTTCTGTATATAAGACAAAAATAACTCAACACGTTAATTAATTCCTTTTAAAAAAATTAATGAAATAAATATTATTAACACAATAATTGATTAAAATACATAAATGAATACAAATAATAAATTTGAATGGAAGAAATATTTGATATAATTTATTTGTTATTTTAACGATGTATTATTTATTAATATATAAAAAAATTCCACTACCAAAAGTTTGTGGTTGGCAAGATTTTATATATATATATATATATATATATATATATATTACACATAACATACATACAGTACAGTATATATATATATAAATATACTATATATTTCCATCGACACTTACAGCAGAGTTTGACCTTGAGCTGGCATTCACCCTACCAGAAGTACATTACATGCACTCACCTTCTCTAGCCAGAGGTGTGTGTGTGTGTGTGTGTGCGTGTGTGTGTGTGTGTGTGTTTTAGGAAGTTCACCAGATCAAACTGATCTTCTTAATATATGAGAAAGAAAACAGCTTTAACACTGTTCCCCCAAAAGACAGAAACTAATAATCACACAACTCATGAGAAAAAAAGAGAATATTCATAATAACGCACCAGCTGAATATTTTTTCATGCATTCCCAGCTAACAAAATTATCTTCCAAGAACGTTTTGCTAACATTCCCATTCATTTATAAAAAGATTGTTTTTGAATGCTCACAGAACGTTTAAAATATCCTATGCTTTTTTCTTGGTTATGCAAACTTTAATGGAACGTTCCTGTTTATAATTTTGTTACTTTTGAATGTTCTCTGGACATTTTAATACAAGTAATAGGCTAACATTTAAAAACTGTGAACTAAAACGTTTCAGGTAAAAATGTTTCATGGTTGATATGTCTGTACTAGAAGAACATTAATCACATTAGCATTAGCTAACGTTCTGAGAAAGTTCCCTGTTAGCTGGGCGATATCCCATAATAATAATACACCTCATCCCCATGGTAACCCATAAGGTCTATTGCATTCTGGTAAGTTTAAAATGTATTTTAAGTGACACACACACACACACACCTTCAGGGGATCTGAATACTGTACATTCACGTGTATCCCATTGCAATTAAAATATCACTGAGACTAAACACTATTATGTGTGTGTATGAGACGAAAATCAGAAAATGTCTGTTTAGCAAACCATCACCTCCCACATCAACTATCCACTGGCAACTGCTACTGTACAGTATGTGTGTTTGTGTGTGTGCGCAGCTTGTTTTGTTGTGGAAAGTCTGTTTAAACCAAGGGAATGTTTGATCCAGGCCAATTTAGAGGCCTTTACGAAAGTTTGTGTGTGTGTGTGTCAGTGTGTGTGTGTCAGCCAACAGATGTAAAATATTCCTCCTCCTGTGCTAATTATGAGCCCCGAACTGCAAGCGGAGACAGACCGTGTGTGTGTGTGTGTGTGTGTAATGATTTGCCTCTCTCCGCAGGCAGGGACGCCCTCTATATTACACAATCCTCTACACACACACACACACAATATCCCAGAATTTATTTAATTAACAACAGCTCGGGCCCAAAACTAATGAGCTCTGTCTCTCTCTCTCTCTCTGTGTGTGTGTGTGTGTGTGTGTGTCGAAGTGAGGGAATCTACCCTTGGAAACATACACTCTGAAATCTAAACGCTACAGTGAGTGATACCATTAAACTCCAGAAAGAGTGACGGAAGAAAAAGATGAAATGATAAAGCGATGGTGGGGAAAGATAAAAAGAAAAGGCAGCATGTGTGAGAGTGTACGCTGGAGAAAGAGAGATTATTTAAGGACAGGTTCTCTGGTGCAGTCATTCAGGGATGAGGCAACTATTTGAAACTGCTCCCATTTTAAATGAGCGAGAGACAAGGGGCGGTTAGGGATATGATTTCTAAAGCCAAAAACACACTAGAGCAGACAGACCTGAAGCATAATGCAGAAATATAACGTTACACACGTAAGCATGTGAACGCAAGTGTTTCCAGTCACGCAACGTCTCGTTGTGTTTGAAATTCATAACACACCGCAAGAACGTGTTGATCAAGTTAAGATGGGAAGAAGTCTCTTCTGCTTACTAACGCTGCATTTATCTGATCAAAAATACAGTAAAACTGTAATATTTTTAAATATTATTTAATAATTTATTCCTGTGATCAAAGCTGACATTTTGAGTCACACGATCCTTCAGAAATCCTTCTAATTTGACGATTTGCTGCTCAAGAAACATTGATGAAAGAACAGCATATATTTGAAATAAAAATCTCTTGTAACATTATAAATGTCTTTATTGTCACTTTTGATCAATTTAAAGCAACCTTGCTGAATAAAAGTATTAACTGCTTAAAAAACAACAACAACAACAAAAATCACACGAGGACAAAGGAAAGCATAAGCATATTGCATAATTGTTGCATTTGTTTCATAGTGTTTTTGCTTGGTTTTAAACTGACCTGTCTCTCTCAAAACTGATCTTTCTTACGCATTGCTATCCATCAAACGCTCCACTTGTGTAGAAATCTTTTTTTCCCCCAGATAGTTGCATGTGCACACACACTACATGCCTAGAAGAACATACCACATGCATTCATTGATAAACAGAAGACAAGAATGGGGTTTTGTGTGCATGTTTTAGCATGTAAGTGTACACATATGTAAAATGCTGAGCATGTACAGTACATTGCATCACAATGACACTGTCAACATAATCACCATCTAAATCAATCTCTCTCTTTCTCTCTCTCTCTCTCTCTTACACACACACACACACACTGAACTGGGCTGTTGAGTGCATAACACTCTTGTTTGTTCTGGTTCATGTCACATCAGTTCTTTCTGCTCCCAACAGACTAAAACACACACACACACACACACACACACACACCGAGGGCTGTGTACTGCAGGAATAATCCATCATTCTCAGGTGAGCGCAGGTTCAGCACTCTTTCTCTTACATACTTTATTCATACAAGTTCCTGGACTGCATTAGCAGATCCGACTGAATCTTCTGTCTAAAAAAGAGAACTCACAAATGAGATCTTTATTATCTCAGGTCTTTCTGAAACACTCTATAGAAACTTAAAAGAATCGGATTGAACTTGAAAGGGTTCTTTCAGGGTTCTTGCTTCATTTATAAAAGCATTTGGGGGTTCCCATCATGGGATCCTTTTATAAATGTATTTTACATTTTATAATTATAATTGTAATAAATTTAATAGTTCATAAATATATATTATTATTAGAAAAAAATAAAAAAAAGTGTTAAAAATGTCAGTATTATGCAATAATTTCAGACATTTCTCCTTATATAGAAACTTTTTGGCATAAAGTGCTCTTTAAAATTGAGTCAAGAACACAAATTAAGATTTTTAAAAACTGCAATTGATTATATATATATATATATATATATATGAGATATAATTTCTTCATATATACTGTCATTTCTCATATTATTTTTGTTCATAAACTCCATTTTTTATTGTTAATACTTTACAATAAAGTTAATAAAATTGTTTAATTAGTGCTTAATTGGGTTATATTTTTTTATGGTGTCCATGGAGTAATTATACATTGAAGTACTGAGAAATAATAATTACTATAAAGTTAGGGTTAGATAAGGGTTTTGTTTATGGTTAGTTACATGTAATTATGGATAATTTATAGTTATTGCTATATAGCAACTACACGTAACATGTGTGAGGAAACGTCTCGGTTACGGATGTAACCCTTGTTCCCTGAGTAGGGAACGGAGACGTTCCGTCGGATGATGACGAATGGGGTTTCACTTAGAAAGCCTATCAGCTTCGATCAATATAAAACGTGCCAATGGCAAAGAAATGCCATGGGTCTGCGGAATTTGCGTGGCATAACACAAATGTACCTCCGCCTCACCTCGTGGGTATAAAAAGAATGAAAAAGAATATCTGGCAGAATGCAGATATGTTTCTTTGCTGAGGAGCCAAGACTGAGGTCAGGCGATCCCCGGGGCACAGCGGAAAGGGGGGATTCAGTCTCCTCGCTCCTCCTAGGAACGTGACGGTCAGGTTGTGCTTCCCCACAGACTTACCTTCGATAGGGTCATGGTGTGCAGCACTAGCAGCGACATGCACCTTGAGCGTGGAGGGAGACAGCCTTCACTCCAACCCATCTTGAAGGAAGGAAAGCACGACACTGATTGAACATCTCCGGGGGTCTTCTCAGTGAGAAGAGCACCAGTTGACGAAGAGGTTACACTTCAACGCGTAGAGGTGTCTCGTAGATGATGCTCTAACGGAAGTGATGGTAGCCACCACCGCTGGTGTTAGGGTACTGAAACCTGCCTCGTCCCATCCAGGAGCCACACGTGGAGGTTTCAAAGATTGGGACGAGGGTGCCATAGGGTGCCATAGGATGTCCTTCCTCAGAGGAATCGGCCAAGGAGGTGCTGTCGCGAGGAGTGTAAGTTCGGAGAACCAGGTCCGGGTGGGCCAGTACGGCGCGACCAGAATGACCTGCTCCTCATCCTCCCTGACCTTGCGCAGGGTCTGCACAAGAAGGCTCACTGGGGGAAACAAATATTTGCGGCCCCTCGGCCAGTTGTGTGCCAGTGCATCCGTGCCGAGTGTGCCCTCGTCAGGGAATAATATAGGGCACAATTGGTCGAGTCGTGAGAGGCAAACAGATCTATCTTTGCATCCCCGAACTAGTCCCAAATCAGCTGAACCGATTGGGGATGGATTTGGCATTCTCCAGGGAGGGGCTGAAGCCGTGAGAGCTCATCAGCTGCACGGTTAAGTACTCCGGTGATATAAATGGCAAGAAGGGACCACAGATGCTTCTGACTCCATATGAGGAGGTGGCGGGCGAGTTGCGACATACGGCGGGAGCGTAGACCACCTTGCACCATAGACCACCGGCACAGAGTGAGACAACTAGCAGCTCGAAGCAACTGACGTGCCATAGGCGCTTGGGTCCTGTCCAGGAGCCCACGACAGCACGTCCATTGCACATGGCACCCCAGCCCGTGGCAGAGGCATCTGTCGTTACAACAACATGCCGGGAAGCTCGTTCCAGGGGCACTCCGGCCTGTAGAAAACTGAGGTTCATGCATGGGGTGAAGGTCTGACGACAGGTCAGAGTAACTGGTACTTGGAGAGTGCCGTGTTGCCATGCCCACCTCGGGACTCGGTCGCACCAAAGCTGAAGCGGTCTCATATGAAGCAATCCGAGCGGCATTGCCGCGGCTGCAGATGCCATATGCCCCAGGAGCCTCTGAAAAAGTTTCAGTGGAACCGCACTCTTGCCCTCGAACTGTCTCTGGGCAAGTCAGCAGTGATTGTGCGCATGTAAGCTGCGCGGACATGGCGACTGAGTCAAATTCCATATCGAGAAAAGAGATCCTCTGTATGGGGCAAAGTTTGCTCTTTTCCCAGTTGGCCCAAAGGCCCAGATAAGCCAGGTGCCGGAGGACTAGGTAGGAGGGGAACAAGGGCTGCCTCTGCGATCTTCGTGAAGACGCGAGGAGACAGGGCTAGCCCGAAAGGGAGAACCGCGTACTGGTATGCCTGCCCCTTGAAAGCAAGTGCTCGGGCTAATCAGAGTCAGACACGAGTCTGCCGGAACCAGAAGTGCACAGGCGAAGCATCTTTAAAAAGATGTGCCGAGTGCAAGCTCTTTTAGAGCGGAAGCTCAGTACTAAAGCACCCGGGGAGAAACACACTCACTGGCAAACCACTGCACAGATGGAAGCAGGAAGCGCGCACTCGCTGGGATATTGCCGTCACACCACCACCGAAAATCTCGCTCGTCTGAAGAAGCTGACAATTTCAGAGATCGCTTGAGAAATGAAGAATGAACTTGGCTCCGAAGCAAAAACATATCTGCATTCTGCCGGCATCCTCCTTTTTATACCCACAAGGTAAGGCGGAGTTACGCCACGCAAATTCTGCAGACCCATGGCATTCCTTTGCCATTGGTTCGTTTTATATTGATCAAAGCTGATAGGCTTTCTAAGCGAAACCCCATTCGTCACTTTGAGTTCCGTCGGATGACGACGAAAGGGAATTGTAGTGTTACCCTTAATTGTCTTGGAAATATTGTGACGTCAAAAATCTTGATGGTCTCAATAGAGGTGTTCTTTCTCCATGCAATATATATATTTTTTATTTCTATACTCTATCCATCCAAAGCAAAACACAGCTGATATTTAAATCTGAGTCTCTTGAGCTTTAAAGAGCAACCTCTGAGCAATAACATTTCCCTCCGGGTGATCTAATCACATCCAGCTAATGTGTTCTCATAAAGCCAAATACAACTGCTCCAGAAGTGTTCAATCAGAGCAAACCCATGCGCCATTAGAGAGACAGCTTCACAACACTCAACTCAACTGATCTGTGATGGTTCCACAACCACAAAGAACCTCTCAATGCCAATAGATCAGATTTCTACCATTCCCACGGATCTGAGTGACTAATATACATGCTTACGGGGCACCAATACGGAAGTTTGCTAACAAAAATTTTTTGTGTGGCGCTTAAAAAATGATTCTCAAACTGTAAAACTCTTTTGTGTTCTAATTGGAACCTTCGTTTTTAGAATCTTTAGAATGGCTTCGCTTCAGAATTCTCCTTGGTGTTCTGACTTTGACGTCTTTTGAAAATGTATTTGAGCTGGAAATCAATGTGTGTGTTTGTACCTGTGAGCATGTTGTGTGGGTTGGGTTTCTCGCTGTAAAAGAGAAGAGCAAACATCTGTCCGACTGATTGAAAGAGCCCTGTGGACCGCTTTCACCACTAATGAGCGTTTACTGCCTGGAAAACAAACCTAGATACACTACACACACACACAAACATATACTGACAAAAGGAAAAAGGTTACACTTTATTTCCATGGTCCACTTTAGACTTTCTACTAACTAGAAGTGACTTCGCAACTAGAATGTTTTTACTACTTTTTACTTATAGTCAGTGGAATGTCTGTAAGGGAGCATCAAAAGTTATCAGATTAAGCAGATAGTCTATACTGCAATCACTGCTAGTTTACATGTAGGTGCAAGTTAGTAGAATGTCTAAAGTGGACCATCGAAGGTGTGTTACTGAAAATTCACATACAATATAAAAAATATAGCTAGGGCTGGGGAATATAACTAAAATAATTATATATCAATATTTTTCAAGCCATTTATATATTATATGTAATGTTATGAGATATTATATATCAAGATATTATAACGTGGTATTAACTGTATTTACTCTGAAATTGCTCATAGTAAATAAAAAAAAACTTTAACTGTAATCAAAGTTTTTTTTTACTAAAGGAAACACTTATTGTAAAAAAATGTCCACCTATTTTAACTTAAAAATGTAAGTTCAGTTGCCGTTTTAAATTAGGTTTGATCAACTTAGTCATTTCAACTGACATTATATATATATATTATACATTATATAACTTACATTATAGATAGATAGATATGATGGATATATGTCTCAGGCCTTATTGCTGCTGGTTTTCAGATTGCTGCTGCTGTCTTACTGTATCAAAGTGAAAGTCAATCACACACATCAACAGGCTTTCTTCACACCCACAGGAAACTGGAAATGCACCCGACAAACTTTTACCTGATGAACCTCTCGCGGTATGGTGTTCTGTTACAAATAAAGAAATGTGTTAGAGAAAAATAGTAAAAGAAAAAGTCATTTTTGAAGCAGTGACACAATGACACTTATCAACACCTGCCAGAACATCACTCAATGTCTTTCATGATCTCAATGTGAGTGTGGAGGTTTACAGCCAGACAAAAAGAATATGGAGAATATAATTACAACAAAAAACACTGTAAATTCCCATCTGAATCCAATGAAAGATCAAACATCTCCTTTGAACAATGTTAGACTGAACAAAATAATAGTCAAGCATATTTTGTAAAAACAGAAAAATCACAGATTATCCAACCTTAAACAAATGTTTAACAGATTTAGCCAATCACACATCAGAATTTGTCTTGTTTTGTTCTTCTTTAAAGCAATATTTCATTTCAATAAACTGTTGTTGATCACAAAAGAAAATCACATTCACAGAAATGCACTTAATGGCGGTCTAGATAAAATAAACTGAGACAGTCTCTATAAAATCGGACAATTAACAGAGAAATTTAGCAGATTTTTTATATATTTGGATTCTCTTTCTGGTATGTTTATGCTTATCATGTAAAAATGTTGTGATGCATTGCAAGTGCATCACTGTAAATGCAAATCATTTACATTATGGACATTATAAAAGTAGACTAGAGACACAGAGAAAGGTGTGAGTGAGAGAGAAGGAGTGCATTTGGCACTAGAGCAGGTGCGCTGGGATTTCCTGTGTCTAGAGGAACAGCCGGAGGGCTGAGCGTGATGTCTTGATACAGCGATCACACACACACACACACACTGTGGTTAAACAGGTGCTTTAATATCCTTAACACTTCCCGAACGACAGCGGTAAACCCTGGGCAGTTAGCAGGAGCAATCACACACACCATAAAGCCTGATTGTTAATCACAATAAACTGAATCCTGGTAAAAATGGATATGATGTCATGCACACACACACTCACAGTAAGTGACAGTGATGGAGTGTGTGTTGTGCCTGAACAGCAGGGAATATCATTGATAAAAGACTTGAGCAATGCAGATGACTCAACAAGGGTCACACACAGATGCATGCACACACACACACACACACACACACCGGATCTGGTGAGCTGCATTAGATGTTTCTTCCCTACATAGGCAGCATCCTGAAATGGTGACTGATATTTAAACTAAATTACTCTCAAATAAACAAGAAAATCTATCTATCTATCTATTATCTATCTATCTCGAATGCTTTTTAGAAAACTTTTTCCTTTCTTATTGTAAAGCTTATGATGACAGGTCTCAGATATGTAGAGAGAGAGAGAGAGAGAGAGAGAGAGAGAGAGAGAGAGAGAGAGAGAGAGAAGAGAGAGAGAGAGAGAGAGAGAGAGAGAGAAAGTCCTGTCACACAGTGTAATAATCAGACAGCTGTACACAAGACCCTTCCAGCAAGGGCAGAAGCTTATGTGCGTGTTACTAGTAATGCTGAAAATGACACCAAACAGAAGTGCAAGATGATTGTGACAGATAGTGAGACAGAAAAAGGGGGCCGAAGAGAGTGAGATAGAGAGATGAATGGATAAGCTGTACTGATGGAGGCCTTCAGGGACGATTCTGCTCATCTGTCACATAAGGAAGGATAAAAAGAACAACTGTTCCAGAGAGAAAGTGTCACTTGGCTCCGACTCCCTCTCTCTGCAGCAGCTGCTGTGATGTTCCCTGCACACGGATCAGATCCTGCCAGGAAAACTGCGCCTCTCACCTCCAGCCTCCACTTACGTGACCAGTGACCCAATGGAGCATTGGCACAAAATCACCCCACAATGAACACAGCTATTATGCCATTTTGAAGATTGCTCATTTTGTTTTGCAGTCTCCTATAACAGGTTTACATGCATCAAAGTTCAAAAAATGCTTTCATTTCTTATAATATAAATTGCAGCATCGCCTTTTCTTACAGTGTCTGAAACTGTTCGGGATTTAGTCTCTCTAAACCCCCCTCAGAGAGGAGTCTACTCTGCTCTGATTGGTCAGATGGCCCAGTCTGTTGTGATTGGTCTACTCTGCTCTGACTGGTCAGAAGGCCAAGTCTGTTGTGATTGGTCTACTCTGCTCTGATTGGTCAGAAGGCCAAGTCTGTTGTGATTGGTCTACTCTGCTCTGATTGGTCAGATGGCTCAGTCTGTTGTGATTGGTCTGCTCTGCTCTGATTGGTCAGAAGGCCAAGTCTGTTGTGATTGGTCTACTCTGCTCTGATTGGTCAGATGGCCCAGTCTGATGTGATTGGTCTGCTCTGCTCTGATTGGTCAGATGGCTCAGTCTGTTGTGATTGGTCTACTCTGCTCTGATTGGTCAGAAGGCCAAGTCTGTTGTGATTGGTCTACTCTGCTCTGATTGGTCAGATGGCTCAGTCTGTTGTGATTGGTCTACTCTGCTCTGATTGGTCAGAAGGCCAAGTCTGTTGTGATTGGTCTACTCTGCTCTGATTGGTCAGATGGCCCAGTCTGATGTGATTGGTCTGCTCTGCTCTGATTGGTCAGATGGCTCAGTCTGTTGTGATTGGTCTACTCTGCTCTGATTGGTCAGAAGGCCAAGTCTGTTGTGATTGGTCTACTCTGCTCTGATTGGTCAGATGGCCAAGTCTGTTGTGATTGGTCTACTCTGACAGATGGCCCAGTCATGCTTCCTCAACACTTATTTACAAAGTGATATGAACGGGAACGTTGGAGTTGGGTTTTTTTCTGTATCAATCTCATCCTTTTAAAGTGCATCAAAGAGGATTCACAGCGCCAAAAATGTGCTCGACATGTCGACAACACAAAACAAACTCTTCCAGTCTCAGCGACAACTACAGTGTTATGTTTATGTAGGTTATGTAGGTTCAGCAGGAAGTGAGACTGGAATGACCGATGACTTTTACATTCACAAACAGCAATATAACACACTACATAAAAAATAATTTTGAAAAAACATTTTAGGGGCACTTTAATCACTGAATCATGCAATAAAAGTCTATTTTTAAATTAAAATGCATCTCATGTGTGTCTTTTTCTGCACTGTAAAATGTAAAAGTTTTCAGAAGATTATTGGAGAACATTTTACAAGAAAATACTATTTCAGTCATTCTATTCAAAGTTTCGCATGTGTCACATTCTTTGTAATTATTTGTTAATTTACTTGTGAAAACTTGCTTGCCATCTTTATTGGACTACAATGAGGACCACAATGGAAATGAGTTTTGTAACTTTCTTGTGTTATCCTCGACAGTTCTGATAAATCTATATTGTCATTGTGATGGCATCTTGTTAGGCATTTATTTAATTTAATCTTTTTTTTTTACTGTCTAATAAATCAAATCAAATCAAATCAAATAAAAAATTGCTTTATAGTTTCTTTTCTTCAGTTTTTTTGTGTCCAAGCTGCAAAATGAGCCAAACAAATAAGAATAAGACAAGCAACAAATGTCATCCAACTAAACATTTAAAACATTTCCAAGATTGGGAGCTCATTATTGAAAAAGGTCTGTCCAAAAGAGTAAACATACAGTGATGCTGGACAGAGACGTTTGCTGTGGTGTGAAACAGAGCAAAAACGGTTTCATCTTGCTCTGTTGAAAAAAAATGATAAACCAATTACTTTACTTATCACTGGAGGCAAAAAACAACATTAAACAGATAATATTACATAATATGGATGTCTTGAACATGGTTACTATGGTAACGTCTCATTTAGACCCTAATGAGCGGGGTTCATGAGTTTTAGCTCCACCCACAGCTGATGTCGCAGTGTCTAATTTAATAATAACATTTAAAAACAAGAAGTAACAGTGGGACAGCAAACAGTCAGTCTCTCATCAACCATATCAACATTTCATTTTATTTACGTTTTATCAACATCAACAGTTCAATTATTTTGGATTGAAAATATTGTTTTTGGCACAAAGCACAAGGGTACTGACTGCAAATAATATGTACTTGTTATAGGTATATGTACTTGTAAGATGTGTATGTTCATGTTATATGTGTATGTTATAGGTATATGTACTTGTTATAAATATATGTACTTGTTATATGTGTTTGTTATAGGTATATGTACTTGTTATAGGATACAGTGAGGAAAATAAGTATTTAAACACACAATAATATATAAATAAAAAAATAAATAAAAAAGAAGATAAAAATTAAAATTAATGTATTAATTATTTCCAAGATTTCGAGCTCATTGTAAAAAAAAAAAAATGCTAGACATGTTAATGAAAAAGGCATCTGCCATCATTATCTTTCATTAGCAGAGTAAAATTAAATTAAAATTAATAAAAGTAAAGTAAAATAAAATCAAATATATTTATATAAAAAATATATAATTTTTCCCCAAGATTTGAAGCTTATCATAAAAAAAGAAAATGTCACGAAATGTACATTTAAATCAATTAAAAATAATTAAGTGTTAAGTGAACAAGTGTGCATATACTGCATGGACATGCAGTAAAGATCATTCAGAGGAATTGTGTGTGCACTGGGGGTCTTTGGTTAAAGAAAGCATGAAATGTCTTGGGTCTGGGGAAAAGGGAACCGATCAATCATATGAGGACCGGCACTGATCCATTTATATCTCTCTGAGTAAGCAAAAACCACCACACACACACACACAAACACAACCCTAGAGACACATAAACTCAACAAACACAAAGACCCTCTAAACAATGCAAACACATGCACATAATTAAACACAACACACATTTCTGCATGCTCAAACACACACTCACAAACACTGGAGTTGTTAAAAGGCACCTCTAAATGTTCAAATCGATTGGTCAACTCAAGGTCGTCATGTCGATTACCTCAGCCAAACTCAGCCGAGTGGAAGAAGTGGACGTTAGGAGAGCGAGAGTATTTTGGGAAATTACTGTATGGACTGATCCAGGTCCAAGTTGCCTGTGATGAACAATCAGAAAAATGAACAAACACCTAAATGTTTCATCCTT